TAGCTAAAGATAAGTTTTTTTATATGATAAGGTGGCAAACGAACAAGCGGTAAATTAAATTCGCCTAAATAGCGAAGCAACCCTTGCCATTAGACATACGCAATTGCATATGCGTTGCCTACCTTTAATCGACGGTGGGATGCACATAATATTTCCCCTTCCCATGCATATTCTCATCCGGAAATTCACTTCCACATCCCATCCTTTCCTTACAAGAAAAAGAGTGGGAAAGCAAAGAGAACTAAATTGAGCCTCTGTCACGTGCACTCATCAAAAACGAAAAGCGAAATTCACGCCTGTCTTCTGTATGGTCGTTGTATTGCACCGGTCGTGCAAATGCATTCGTGCAACAGATGTTTTTGTAACAGGCCCCTATCTCTCTTTCTGAGGGCTATCTCCTTTCTTTTATACTGTCATTTGACTTACATAAAAACTGGAAACGTATTCTTACATAAAATAAGACCGAATGGTCCAAAGTAAATTTAAAGTCCTACAGACAAACCTAATAGAAATTTTAAAATTTCTTTAAAAGACGTAAATTTCTACATATTTCGTTCTGAATGATTTTCAGGCACACATAAAAACATTCGAACGTGAATCTAGATCATTTAGAGCCCAAATAAAAACTAAGAAGCATTTTGTAGTGGTCCCGTTTTACGATTGAAGCTATTATTTCTGGCGGGGTCTCGTAAATCGAGTGCATTTTATGAGTGTACACTTAGGTTTTATAGAGCTACATAATGGACTATATATTAAGACGTAAAAGGTATATGCCTCGTCAAATATATATATATACTTTGTCTACGGAGATGTTCCTTATAACTTAATAATAACCTAATATTATTTCCTGCTCATTTTGATACGTATAATGTTGAAAAAAATATTCCTAACATCCCACACTAACCATCACCATTACTATCTAAATTTATTATCATCATCATCATATTCAGCTTTGATTCGTCTATTGCTAAACGTAGGCCTCCACCATCGATTGTCACATAACCCAGTAATGTGCCGCTAGCATCCAGTGCACCTAAATTCATTTGTGGAAATTTAAGAAAATATTTATTAATTGAGAGAAAATAATTAATATTACATTTTTCCAGCTGCCACCCGCGATTTCATTCGCAAGCAATTAAAAAAATCAATAGCAATAGCCTTTGTGTTCTTCCAGACTATGTTCTACATCTGTGCTAAATATCATCAAGATCCGTTGAGTCGATCCGGAGATACCATCTATCAAACATCTATTCATCGATTATTTGGCATTCATAATATTAGTAAGAATGTACTAAAAATTTTTATAGTTAAATAGGAAAAATATCACAAGCAACAGCTAGTTAGAAATAAAACTAGAACGGCATATGAGGTGCAATCTTCCGGAATCGTTCAGGCTGTTATCAACGTAC